AAATGAGTGAAATTATCCTATATTTATATGATGCCTTAAGTTTTGTATTGTTTCTCAAACTGTATCTGGTTATTAAACAGCTGATTACTTTAACCACATCGATGAACCAGCCTTATAAAAACTTTGAAAAACTTCTCAAATGGTGAATTTGATTCCTAACTCCTACACTGCAATTATCAACACAGCAGTATACTCTGTCTGATTATTCTTTAGATCTAAGATGGTTCAAAAACTATGATGAAGGGCTAGTCTACACTAGAAACAATACATCGGCGTGGCTTCACCGATGCAGCTGTGCCGTGGTAGCACGTCTGGTGAAGACTCTCTATGCTGACGGGAGAGTGCTCTCCCGTCAGCATAATGAATCCACCTCCGTGAGAGGCAGTAATGATGTCGGTGGGCGCTCTACGGCCAACATAGCACTGTCCACATCGGCGCTTAGGTTGGTGTCACTTATATCGCTCAGAGGGGTGGCTTTTTCACACCCCAGAGCCATGTTAGTTATACCGAAGTAAGTGGTAGTATAGACCTGGCCTTAGTCTTTGTAGTTAGATATACCAATTAATATAGATTACATTTCATATTCAATTTCTTTAAAGGTGAGCAGACAAGGAATATATATTTTTAAATTTACTCCTTTTTTTATGGAATGTGAAAAAAGCTCGAATGTCAGCCAATATAGGTTTAAGTGTTTTCACTAAACTAATATTTCAAAGGCTCTCCAACTTTTCATATCATAACAAATAAACAACACAACAACAATATAACATCACATTACAACAATAGTAATCATGTTCGTGACACTGACACCTCAATTTTAGTCTGCTTTCTCTGCTGAGACGACATAGAAATCATGAATTCTGCATTATGGTATGGTACCTTTCTGCTGTGGGGCAAAAAATATTCTCCCCAGTATAATCAAAGACACTGACTTCCTTGTGTAATTAAAGAAAGAAGCAAAACAGTGGAAGCTGCAGTTCTCTCATACTCAAATATGCTGAGAATTTCACAATATCACACAATGACTAGCTTTTACCTCTCCTAGCCCCTCTGTAAATGGGAAGTAGACCATTTTTTCCATTTTGTAACTATAATACTCCAGGCAAGTTTAGTGGACACTCTGAACACAGCAGCAGCCCACACCTCTCAAGCTACCTCCTGCAGTGCTGGTGCCCAAATTTAAGACAGGTTAACAGAAGTGGATATCAAGCAGTGTTTTCTTCCTTTACAACAGAGCAGTCCATGTTTGTTTCAGGTGTTCACCAGTGTATCTGACTCAGAGTTCCTCACATTTTCTCAGATAAGGGGAAGAGGAAAAAGTAAGTATAACATGTTCTATGTTCTTAACAGCTTGTCTGGTTCTGCTGATTATTCCTCTCTGAAGCCAAAATCCTCATTTTTTCACACTGCAATTGATTACAGCATGAAGGATTATGATGCCACAAACAAAGAATTACAACCTCGGGGCAAATGAACTGAAGAAATCACAATCCTGCTTTCATTGGAAAAAATAGAACTAAAGAAAAAAAAACTCTAGAACATGACTAGAAAAGGGGCTTATGGAGAAGGTATTTCTATAGGAATTCCAAGTACTGTAGTATAACAGCTATTTGTATTCCAGTAGCAATGGTATAAGCTTCTTCTTTAAGTGTTTTAGCCAGCCCAACACAGCTTTTGTGGCTAATAACCCATGGAAATTCCACAGACTTCTCTAGCTATGATCAGGGAGGCTGCTCCCTATTCCAAGAAAATACTACTTCTCAACAGAGATTGTGTAAGGACCAAAGCAGCATTAGATAACCACCCACGACCATCCTGACGTGGCTATGGTCTCATGATAATATCACACTGATAAAGAGTAATCCTCCTTCCCCAATACTAATACGGGGGAAGGAACGGTTTCCTGTCTGAAAAGGACAATATTCAAGAGGCTTTATAATCCAACAAGAACCCCAATGTCTCACAGTTCTGTTACGGAACTGTCAAGATCATCTTTACTTACGTAGAGATTTCATATGATATAGTAAGTGCCTTCTGCTCAATGGTATATATTTTAATAATTCTATCAGTACTCAAGCAGTATATAACTTCTCTTTGACCAGAGAGAGGCAAACACATTTTAGAATATGAGATGAGTGGAACAAAAAAAATTTGCTATTAAAGCGACAATGATGTTTGTTATTTATTTTTAAACAGTTCCACAGCTAAAAAGAGAGAGGACTGAAACCTAGAAATGAAGAGAGGTTTTATGATGAAATTCGGTTTTGTTTGATTGAGCTAGAAAGCTTTGTAAATATTGCATGCTGTGCTCATATAGTACATTCTACATCATGTATTTTTTAAACAAATTCACAAAACTTGTAGCTAAGGAAGGCTGACTATGCACAGGTGCATGGTTAAAACGGTTGTGCAGAGAAAAATATACTGAAGGTACATATACACAGAGGATTTACCAAATAAAATATAATTTATTAGTGAGAGCTGTTGGCTGAAAAGAGATCATTAGAAATTAAAAAGTTCTGCTCTTTAATCAGGAATATTTTCAAGACAAAGTTCAATTTTTCATTACAAGTTTTGCAGCTGCTTGGGCGATTTACAAAAGAGATACATTTTGCCACTTTTTATAGTGGGAATCGTATATCCACCCTCCCTGAACTCAAAACTCACTGAGCTCAATGACAGCACCCCCTCTCCCGCCCTCCCAAACTAGTAAAGAAAAATTCATCTTCAGGCAAAGCTTAAAATATTGCAGCCCCAAAAGATGAAAGTTACAATCTTTCATAATTACTGAAAACAGGGAGTTTGAATGCTGGCCATTATACAAACTTAACCATAGCTGTCCCTTCCACTTCTACTGTAACAAAAAAAATCAAGATTAATGTGCCCCAAATTTAAATTTGAGTCCAATTATGCAGCATTCAAGGTTTTTTTTGTTTGTTTGTTTTAAAAACAGAACTGCACAGGAAGCACAATAAGCACTCACTATCAAGTCACAAGAATTCTTATTATGGCCCAAACCCCAAACACTTATTTACGTGTTTAACTTCAATAGGACTACTCATGGGTGTAAAGTTAAAGCAAATGTGCATTTGAAGGTTTGAGGCCTATATTAAAAGGGTAGAGTCCAGGGTGTACAACTAACACAATTTACTGCATATATACACTGAAGAAAAGAGATACTGGAATCACTTGTAGGTAGTTCTCTGAAAACTTCAGCTCAACATGCAATAGCAGTCAAAAAGGCTAACAGAATGTTAGCAACTATTAGTGAAGGGATAGTAAAGAACACTGAAAATAGCATAATGCCACTATATAAATCCATGGTGTACCCATACCTTGAATACTTCTGGTTGCCCCATCTCAAAAAGGATAGAATGTAACCGGAACAGGTTCCAAGAAGGGCAACAAAGATGAAGGGTATGGAACAGCTTCCATAAAAGAAGAGACTACAAAGATTAGCGCGGTTCACCTTAGAGAAGATGCAACTAAAAAGGATATGATAGAGGTCTACGAAATCAAGAATGGTGTAGAAAAAGTGAACAGAGAAATATTATATACTCTTTCCCACAAAACAAAAACCAGCCGCCACCCAGTGAAATTAATAGGCAGCAGGTTTAATACAAAGAAGAGGAAGTACTTTTTTGCACAATTAACTTCTAGAACTCATTGCTATGGGATGTTGTGATGGTCAAAGTATAACTGGGTTAAAAAAAAAACTAGATAAGTTCATGGAGGATAGATTCATCAATGGCTACTAGCTAAGATGGTTGAAAATGCAACCCCATGCTCGGGACAACCCTAAACCTCTACCAGAAGCTAGGGGGGAGTGGGAAGGGGAAGAAAGATGGATCATTCCGACTGCCCTATTCTATACACTAACCCTGTAGCTCTGGTTCTAGCCATTGTTGGAGACAGGATACTGGACTAGACAGACCATTGGTCTGACACAGTATCATAGTTCTTATGCTGCTGGGTTCTTCTATTCCTAAGAAGAAAGGGGAGAGATGTTATCTACACTGAATGCCAAATCAAGTTTGAGATCATGTTAGAACAGTGGTTCCCAACCCATGAACCGCTTGTGGCCCAGTCAGCACACAGCTGAGGCCCATGTGGCATCCTCAGGGACATACAGTTAGTATATATATTGTGTGGATGCACTAGCCCACACAACACAGAGAGGTGCATATGAAGCCCACAATGGTAAATAGGTTGAGAAGCACTGTGTTAGAGTCTGTTTACACTGGCTGTGTTATAAAACATAACTAGCATGTTTTCTAATACCACAATGCTAAATACTAAATGGAGTTGTTTGATGTTGTGTTAACTAATGTGCTGTCACCCTATGTACTTCCCCAGTGTAAGACATGGGGAAAATCAACACAGACACAGAGAGACCTCTTTAAGACCATCTATTGTATCTGGTCTTATATTTAGAGTGTAAGCTCTTTGGGGGCAAGGTCTGTCTTTTTATACAGTGTATAACACAATGGGGTCTTGGTTCATGACTAGGGCTTTTAGGTCCTAGTGTAATATTAATAATAATAAAATATTAGGAGTCAAAGTGAATCAGCACTATGCCCATTTTATCCTTGGCCTCCTCTCTAACACTGCCAACTAGAAGCACACCAATTACAGTGATGATTTATGATGCAGTCACCTGGGTAGTAGAAAATGGAATAAACAGGAGCAACTCATTTCACAGAAACTACCAAGTGTGTACAGCATGAATGTGTGTTAGATCCCATGATCTGGGAAATGAAGGGCTCTGCACGTCAACTCACCTGAAGAAGGACAAGACATCAACTCACTTGGGTGCATGGGGAAAAGAGAATGGCAAAATGACACAAGCATTACAAAATAATGAAGGGTTGTGCAAACCACGTGATGTGCAATCTATGTGAAGAAACACTTGTCCTAATACTACCCCAGCATTACAGCTGGGGATGGACAGCACATGAAACCCTAAAATAGATGGACATCACCACCAGCATGGTACCAACCTGGCACATATTCAGTCTCAAAGCGCCGTCTGGTTTCGCTAATTAAGGCAGCCTTGTCCTGCTGCTGAGAAACAAGAGGATAAACCCGGTATGAGACCCCCACACCCCTTTCCCAGGTATCCCCCTCTCCCCCAGTTCCCTCCACCCCACTCCTTAGTGTCCTCCAACCCACATGCTCTCCAGTGGTCCCCCTCCACTGTCCCCGACCCCATGCCCTCCAGCAGTCCTTCGTATCCCCAGCCCCCGCAAGTCGGACGCCCTCGTTTCCCCCGGGGTCAGCGGGCTCCGCAGCAGGGAGGGGGGAGGGGACAGAGACCGCCGCGCTCTCACGCAGCCACTCACGCCGGCCATGGTCCCGCGGAGGTTCCCCGGTCCCCGCAGCAGCTGGTGACAAGGCAGCAGGGCGGAAGGGGAGGGGAGCGCGTGACGAAGAGAGCAGTGGGGCGGGGCAAGGGAGCGCCGACTAACGCCGCGCGCTTCCCGGAACTACCCGAACAAGTCAATCAGCCCGCCGCCGTCCGCCCCCGTTACGCCCGCCTGAGAGACAGCCCCGCCCCGCACCTCCTAAAGCCCCGCCCAGCGCCTGCCCGTCATTTCTTGTCTGTCTCTCTCCCCCTCCCCCCATGCCAGCCTTTCCGGGACAGTTTCCTTTCCCACAATGCTTTGCGTGGCGGGCCATTCGGAGCTGGCCTGGAGCAGCTGAGCTGGGAGCTGTCGGCGCGCGCGGCGCACAGGGCGGGTAAGGCCGCGCGCGGGTGGGGCAGGGCTCGAGCGCGGCCAGTTGCGGTCTGCGGCGGCGGGGCCGGGGCCGGGGCGCAGTTAGCGAAACTGCGGGTCGGGAGGTTCGTGCCTGTGTAACGGCCCCTGCGCCTGGCACGGCTCCCGCAGCGCCGGGCGCCTCTGGCTGCTGCCTAGGAACAGATACCGAGCGCCTCGACCGCCCCCATCCACCCCCGTGTGTTCAGCCCAATCCTCGCCCCGAGCAACGCTCACCCCCTTGGGGGCACGTGTTGAGCTGCGAGGGGCCGGGGCAGGGCCGCCTCTCTGGGGTAGGCGGCTGGTTACTCTGCCTGGAAGTAAGGGATTGGCTGTGTGAAGAGCGATGACCTCAGGTGTGGGCTGAGCAGCCTGTAGGGAGGAACCCGCAGCGCAGCGAAACCCCTGGCTGAGGTTTGGGCTGAGTTTTACTTTTGGCATTTAATTTACCCATCACTGGGAAGGACTTTAGTAAAGTGTGTTGGGAGCGCGGGGCAGATTGGGAAAGGTGCCTGCCCACTCTTATCTAGCTTGGGAATCGGACTCTCCTGACTTACAAGAACAGCGTTCATCTAGTTGATAGCTGAACTATCAGACTGAATAGAGAATTTAAGTGTTCTGCCCACATTCAAAGTTGTAAAATATACACACCACCTGATAAATCACTTGCAACTTGCATTTCTCACCACATTGATGGTGTGAGTTGCAACATCCAGTGGCAACCATTCAATTTGTAATTTCTGAATGTGGTCTGCTGCTATATTTGGGCTAGTTCAGCTTGGCTAGTCCAAGCAAGGATGGTTTGGTATGCAGAGAGCTACTTTTCTATCTAAAGTGTACAAGTTAGTAAAGTTTTTCTCTTTTGTGAATTATACATCCTTAATACATGTAGTTATAAGTGGCTTATTGATATTTTACATCTTGATCAAAAAGTATGACTGAATAGAAGAGCTGTTGGAATCCATGACAAAACAATGCCATAAATGGAAAACCTTGGACGATCTCCAGATTTTGGTGCTAGAAAAAATCCTATCTGCCCAGTGAACATCTACTACTGTAAAAAGCACTTTGCTAAACAGAGCAGAAGAATGCAACTAGTATTGTAACTGTAATATGCGGCAGCCAAGATTTTACATGTAGTTTAGAACAGTCATTTTTGTAAGATTGTCTTAAGTACTTGGAGTAATGGGGGGATTCCTCACTGGATGGCTAGAACAATAGTTCCCTTCCTTTTGGATCATTCCTAGATAGAAAATTTATCAGAGGTGTCAACTTGCTTTTTAAATGAAAATACTATTTCTGCAAAGTTTACTTGGAAAAACCTATTTTGGTGCAACCTTAAGGCTTATCTTGCAACTTGCTCTGCACAGACAGGTACCATTTCAGCACACGGGTGAATTAGTTGCAAGTTCTGGGTCTTTAGATACACTGAATTTGAAAAATAGGAAATGACACACACATACTACAGTGATGAGGATGTTATAAGAATCTATATAAAATAGGAACCTCATTTTTGCAGACTATTTATAAATCTTGGGTATTTAAGTGGTTTCCATTACTATAATATCTGACTGTCACAACCATTAATGTATTTATCTTCACAACACTGATGTGAAGTAGGGAATTACTACTATTCCTGTTTTACAGTTGGGGAACTAATGTACCGAGTGACTAAATGACTTGCCCATTCCTGTGGTAATGTTAACTTGTGTTCATTGGATGGGTATAACTTTGTACAAGTTACTAGTAGATGTACTAATACAGGTTAACAAATTACTTGTAACCTGGTCTTTTATAAATTGAATGTGGTCACTTTTGTTTTTGTGGGACAGTTAATGGGAAATAAAATGTATCTGCGAAAACTTCAACTGAATTTTTACTATAAATGTTTTACAACAAATTTTAATCCATTTTTTTATCTATTATCTCTTTCTTTCTTATTATTATTGTGCAATTTGTGGATGGTAACTTGTAGCCAGGTTGTATTTCCAGGGTGGATTTGATTTAAATCAAATTGATTTAAATCACTAGTCAGGAGGACTCAATTTAATCATGGATTTGTACATAAAAGTGCATTCTTGTTGGTTGTTATAACCTTAATACATATTCTTTACAACTCAGAGATAGATGAAGGTTTCATTTTTAGAAGGTACACAATACAGTGATTTATTTTGAAAACTTGTCTGATTAGTTTTACAGCTATATCAGAAAATGAATGATTGGTTATTTCATTTACCAAAGGTAATTGAAGCAGATGTTTATGAAGTCCTTGGGAGGTGAACTATCTCCAATTCAACAGGTTAATTGTTAATATTTGGAGGATTTTCTTGCCATGCTGTATTAGAGGGAGAACATCACCAGACAGACATTTAAATCATTTTATTTAACTAAAACAACAACGTTATGTATTCTGGATTTTTTTCTTCAAAAGCAAACATATAATATGTTAACAAAAAAAATATGAATTTTTGAATTTAGTTAAACATTCAAGTTTTTTAAAATCAGGTTTGTTTTTGTTAAAATTGTTTTTACTAAAATGGTTAAATGAAATATTTTTTAAAAATTTAAATCAACTATGTCAGCCAGGTCAACATGAGAAATTTAAAATACTGGCTTCTGTAGCTAACTCAGTCGTCTTCACCTTCATTTTCCTGTTTGTTCATAATTTGGAAAAGAAAAACAAGTTTTCCTGCTTTTTCAGGTCCCAAACGACTTCTCAATTTGGAATGAATTAGTCCAAAGGAAGAAGCTACTGCTGTTAAAAGTGGATTCAGAGACTGTTGAAGTGATAATCTCAAGTGTTTAAGTGACTTCCACCAATTCACTAGTGTGACTTTCTTTAAACCACCATCAATAAACATATATTTCTTGAATGGTTCACCTTTAGCTCTGAAGTTTATTATAGTTGGCATTATGGAGGGATCATTGCTGTATGTCCTTGTCATAGCCAACTCCTCTTCTTCAGCAGTTAAGGTTTGACCCTGGTACCGAGTATTGAGAATATTTGCAAGAAAATCAGCTGGAGATAGTGCTTGTCCCATTTGTTTTTTTTAATGCTTGTAATTTAACTCTGTCAATGCATATTTCTCTTTTTAAGATCTCACTCAGTTCCTTCCAAATTTCAACAGTATCAGCAATAAAACAATTATTTCCCTGCATTTTGTTCAAGGCTACAGAAATAGGCTTCAGGGTACTCAGCATGTGTTCAACATTTATCTTAAGCCCAATGCTGAGAACTTTAGCTCTGACAGTGCCATCTATTTTTTCACGATTTTATTCACAAACTGTCATCTGATTAGGCCAGTTCTTGATATAGTGCTCAAAATAGTCCACTACTGAGTTCCATCGCATGTCTCGTTGGGAGAGTTAGCTTGGTTCATCCCACTTTTTTCAGAGCAGCTGCTCCAAAATGATTGTTACGGAAGTATTTTGCAATTTCAACAACATTAGCCTTTATTTCTGGAACACTGACGTCTTTGGCTAGGAGGTGCATCAAATGAACACTGCAACCATATTATGTTAGCTTGGGACTCTCCTCTAAATTTCTTCTTATCTTGGATACATTTGCAGCATTGTCTGTGATCAAGCTGCATACTTGACATTTGAATTTTTTTGTCACAGTTTGTTACAGCTTTTACTGCTACTTGTAAGTATTCTGCTGTGTGTGCATTTCCTGATGTATCAATTGTTTCTGTAAGGAAGACATTCCCTTCTTCTGTTGTCTCACAAGCACATACAACAAGATCATTGTGGACATTGCTCCACTCATCGAGACTCAGGTTAACAATTTCACCCTCTAGACCTTTTGCACACTGCTCAATTTCTTTCATACACTCTATCCAGCAATTTGCCTGCGACATCTACTCTGTTGGGCGGACTGTATCCTGGTCTTAGTGACTGAACCATGTTAATGAAGTGTGGGTTCTCAATCATACTGAAAGGAGAGATTGTTGCATAAACAAACTGGGCAATTTTTTCATCAGTTACCTCTTTTTTTTAATCTGCTGGTTCTTATCACAAACTTATCTATAAAAAAAACAGGCGTACTTGTGGCACCTTAGAGACTAACAAATTTATTTGAGCATAAGCTTTCATGGGCTATAGCCCACTTCTTCGGATGCATAGAATGGAACATATATTGAGGAGATATATATACACACACACACACACATACAGAGAACGTGAAAACGTGGGAGTTGTCTTACCAACTCTGAGAGGCCAATTAAGTAAGAGAAAAAATCTTTTGAAGTGATAATCAAGATAGCCCAGTACAGACAGTTTGATGAGAAGTGTGAGAATACTTACAAGGGGAGATGGATTCAATGTTTGTAATGGCTCAGCCATTCCCAGTTCCTATTCAAGCCTAAGTTGATTGTATCTAGTTTGCATATCAATTCCAGCTCAGCAGTTTCTCGCTGGAATCTGTTTTTGAAGCTTTTCTGTTGCAAAATCGCCACCTGCGGGTCTGTCATTGAATGACCGGACAGGTTAAAGTGTTCTCCCACTGGTTCTTGAGTGTTATGATTCCTGATGTCAGATTTGTGTCCATTAATTCTTTTGCGTAGAGACTGTCCGGTTTGGCCAATGTATATGGCAGAGGGGCATTGCTGGCACATGATGGCATATAGCACACTGGTAGATGTGCAGGTGAACGAGCCCATGATGGTATGGCTGATGTGATTAGGTCCTATGATGTTGTCACTTGAATAGATATGTAGACACAGTTGGCATCGGGCTTTGTTGCAAGGATAGGTTCCTGGGTCAGTGTTT